TGTGATATCTGATACAGACGAGGAGCCAACACTAGTAATTTTTACTTCAAATTAAGAAATAATAATAAATTAATAACGTTTAATAATAATATGGTAATTATATATTTTATTAAAGGAATCAACGTCAAATTCATTTATTTTAGGCTATGAGGTATTATTTGCACTATTGTGGTCTAGTATTCGATTATTAGTAATTCAAAAAAATAAAAATAAAAATAAAAAAATAATTTATAAATAGGATTTATGAATTTCTAGCAGCTTGGAAAGTGAATATAATAGCGCTAGTAATTTAGAAAATAATAGTGTGCTTATGGATGATTTAGAAGATAACGATGCGTCTGTAAATAGCTTAGAAAATAAAGATGAGGTATATTAATTGTTTTATTTATTTAATGTTATACGTATAATTTAATTTATAACATATAACTAATTATAGTTATATGTTTTTTTGTATTATATGTAACTGTACATAGCATCAACCAACATTTGCCAAATTTGGTTGAAATTTAACCGTCGATCAAGTTGATTATTATCTCGAGTTCCAAGAATATCCCAAAACATCTCAAACTGGTGTCGCTAGTATCTACAATGTTTCTGGCTAGAAACCGGATGATGCTAAAAAAGCATTTGGAATTTCTAATATTCAATATGCTTACGGGGATCCTGGAACTATTCGATCGATTCAAAAATGCCCATTCTTAGGTGTACCTGTTCAAAAAACATATCATTCATGCCTTAGTATAAAAGTATGTGAATTTAGTTCAACAACTCTTGATGTTGAACATACGTCAGTTAATTTTGAAGATCGACTTTATAAAAAAATCTTCGATGCAAATGAGTTTTCTGTTGATACATTTACTCTTAAGTAAGTAACAATGTTTTATTAATGTATTTTCTCTTACTAACGTCCGGTTGTCCTTTTATTAATATTTGGTTTAAAAATTTATTATATTTTTAGTGTATACGGTCAAGCTTATAATACACCATGCTCTTATATTGATCCAAATACTAATATTCGTTGTAATGGAAACCCTATACTTAGAGAGTATAAACAGGTAATCATTTTGAAATGTGATCATTCAATAAGTCGACCTGAGTGTCTCCCAAAGTACAGATCAATAACATAGCCACTAACCATAATTAGATTTTTTGAAGTCATTAATATAAGTGTTTATTAAGAGATTTGAGATTTAAAATAATATTAATTATTATTTATACAACCTAATATTATTGGTAAATTATTAACTGTAGTTATGGCTGCACTATCGATCCGCACCCTAGATGGGCTTTTTTTCTAAGTCTATACAAGTTGAATTAAAGTCAGTCGAGTTGTTAGCATTCTTATTTTTAATTTTATTTATTTTAATTACAAATTTAGATTGACGACTTATTAACTATTCGAAAGTTTTTTGAGTGTAAAAAATATCAATTTGGCCAAAAAGGGCATCGATATATTTCAATTAGCCAACATGTAAACGTAGAATATCTTGAACAATTATTTCAAGACTATACATACAGTTCAAATGAAATTAGTAGAAAGGTATATATTATTAAATACGAATACATATATATTTATTAAATTAAATATTTAATATTAATTTCAATTATAGGATTATCGTTATGAAAATAAACCTATTAATGAATGTTTTACAGTTCTTCTAAATTCTTCTACAACAAGTCATTGCCGTAAGTATAATTATTTCACATTTAAAAATATATAAAGATAGGATCCGTAAATATTTATAGATTATATTCAATGAATATTTATATATTTATTTAACATTATTCATAGATAACTAAAACCGTGAATATTTAATAAATAGCTACAACCGATATTCAAAGCTAATCGTATATACAATATTAATTTATAGATTGTTATTTATAATAGCGCACCTCCATAAAACAGATACTCAAGTTATGAAAGGCAAACTGGTTAATAAAGGACCTTG